AGGGCACTGTGTGATGGAGGTGGGTGTGGATTATAACACTTTTTTCAGGGGCTGCGGGAAGTGGGACTGGGTGGGATTCCTACAGAATCTACCCCCTGAGGATCTTATAGTGGAAGAGGAAGGCAGACGCTACAGGCACTATAATAAAGGTGAAATGGGATTTACTTTTTAAAATAGGAGTTAATATTTACCATCAGCGACGTGCCAGGCTCTGTGCTAAGTAAGCACTTTCCATGATTTAACGTGTCCAACCACTGGCTGCCTCATTTTTCAAAAAGACAAATAAACATTAGCTGTGACTCAGAGAAGATAAGCGATTTGCTAGGAAGCAGCAGAGCTGGGGCTGAAACCAGTTCTCTGTCTCCCAAGTTGTGCTCTTGACCCTTGCATCCTGTTGGCCTCTCTAAATGTGATAAATATTCTGACAGAGGTGTGAGTGAAAGGCGAGAGCCTACTTTTACTTAGGAGGAGGGAAATCAAGAAGGGCTTCTTGGAGGAAGGGGCATTCCACCTGGGCCTAACTGAATCACTAGAATTCAAGGGGAGGATATTTCCAAGAGGTTCTAATATAAGCAGATATGAAGTTAAAAGAACTCAGGGCCTGTAAAGAGAAAGTAAGAAATTTGGGTTTGGGAAGAATTGGTAGACAGAAAGAATAAAAAAATAAGTTGACTAAGAAAATTTGAGGTCAGATCACAGAAGGTCTTACATGGTAGGCAAAGGAGTTTAAACTTTGTTGAAAAAAGCAATGGTAGCTATTGAAACTTTAGAGCCAAGAAGTAGGAGGAAAGCCTGTGTCTTAAAAGGAATACACTGGCCAACTGCGTGAAGAGGAGATTAGAATGGGGACATGTGGCCAGGGAGGTCAGTGAGGAACCTCTGAGAAGGGCCTGTGAGTGGAAGGAGGACGCAGGAGGTGAGCCCTCATTTAGGAGTAGAGTGATTTGCTCTTGTTAGCACTGTGGAAAGGGAGGGTCAGGGCATGGGGAAGAAGAATAAAAGATGACTCAGCCTAGTGAGGAGTCTAGATAATTCTTTATTGTCTTACCATGTACACTTTGTTTCTGCTTTCAACACTTATCTTTGATCCCCAGAGGAGAATCAAAAAAGGGAATTGTACTGCGAATGCTTTTTTCCTTTGTAATATTCAGTGAATGCAAATGGAACGAAGCTACTTAAATTGTGAGCCGTAAAGCCTCCAATCTCTGCACCCAATGAAAACCTCATTAGCCTGCCATTGGAAAAGTAGCACATTCAAATCTGGCTGGTACGGTTTGATCCCTTTGAAGTAATAGTTTTTCTGGAGTGTGGCAGGAGGCCTGAAATTTCAATTAGATAAGCCAGAGGTTTACCTGTCGGAGGAGGGAGGGTATTATCTGCCTGTTGCTAGGTGATAGGTCCCTAAAGCAATAGTTCAGTCTTAAAGGATCAGAGCTCTTTTTAAATTCTTTTTCTTTTGAAAGCAAACATCAATTTAAAACTAACCCCAAATGCCCTGCTCTGGTTTTATAAGGAGTAAAACAACCTGCCTGCCATAAATCCAGCAAACCTTCTGCTCCCCAAACTAGGGAGCCCTGACATGCACGGATGACCAGCCCTTACTGCATCTGAAGGGTATGGGTAAGAACAACGACCACCAAGGTGACTGCTAGGAGCCACGGGCCCTGCTTTGCCAGCTTCGCTGAATCACAATTTTATGACATACGTACTATTTTTCTTCCCTTTAATGGACGCCGTGAAGTGAATTCTGTGTTAGCTTGGCTAGGCTCCGGTGCCCAGGTGTCGGGTCAAACACTAGTGTAGATGTAGCTGTGAAGGTGTGTGTTAGATATGATTAACATTCCTATCGATACACTTTGAGTCAGGCAGCGTATGCCCCATCCTGTGGGTGGGCCTCATCCAATCAGTTGAAGAAGCCTTAAGAGCAAAGACAGCCCTCCCGCCCCTGACACCCTCAGGAAGAAGCTATTATCCCCAAGAGCACAAAGTAAAAAGCCTGCTGCCTTTCCGGTCTGCTGCCCTGTGGGGCTCTGACTCAAGTCGGCAACGTCAATTTTTATCAGAACTTCCGCCTGCCGGCCGGTCCGACAGCTCTCAGACTTGCCAGCAGTCCCAGAGGCTTAGTCCAGTTTCTTAAAGTCCATCTCTCTCTCTCACACACATGCACACACACACACCAGGGATGGGAAAGTAGGTTTACAGTTGTGAGTATGCAAAACAGAGTTTATTCTTGTACTGTTAAGAATTAATTATCGTATGATTTATTTGTATCACAACCACAAACCTACTTCATCTGTGCCGTATATGTGCGCATATGTAATACCTGTGTCTATTTCCACACCCATGTTTATGCCTGCTGGTTCTATTTCTCTGCACACACTGAGGCTCACATAGGCCAGCTTGTTCAAGGTCACTCAGGTGATAAGTGATGAGTGATAAAAGCAGGATCCGAGAGCAATCTGCTCTCCCGATCACTAGACAGACTACCTACACTCTCCCTACAAAGGAGAGTGAATTACTCACGGAGATCATATTCAAACTCGATACCCCAAGTCCAGACAAAACCGAATGTTTAATAAATTTGATCAGATTCTAAGTAAGGAGATACAGATGATAGAAGGGACGCTCTGGCTTTTTCCTCCAAATGCCACTTTCTCTCATCGAGGAGCAGATGGCCCCCTACTGAGCCTGCTCACCAGGCTGTGTATCTTTTCTCTGTTTCGAGACTCCTTCCTGACCCTGTCCATGAACTCCGAGTCTCCTATCAGCTGCCAGGGGTTTGAAGAATAATTCAATCACAGTTTTGCATTAAGGAAGAGGAAGGTAGTTTGGATTTGAGTCCTGGGAGAGATGTAGTCACAGCCCTTATCACAAATATTTCTCTTCTTAAAGATGCAGGGGTTCGGTCCTCCCGGAGATTGAAGGTACGCATGAAATTTATGGGGCCACTTTAAGATGGGAAAGCGTGGCCCCCAGGGTGGAAATTAGTACACTCCGGGGATGGAGCAAGTGTGTACCTCCAGACCCCAGAACTCCCGAAGGGTGGGGATGTAGCCAGGCACAGTCTTCCCTGGGCCACACTCACTGGGGGCCATCAGAGCCGAGTGTGGTATAGGAGAGCCAGGAACAAAGGGGGGACTTCTTTTATAAAATAGCACTTTCTGAGAGACCCTCGCCTAAAACCTGTACCCCAGCAATGGCACCTTGGGGTAGGTTGTTTACACAAACGGCCACGATGATTTTCTTTGCTGCCTTTCCGTAACGCCTTCCCACGCCAGCTCAGGGCATAGCCGTGGGAGCTGCCCTGAATGGTGCATAAGCTCAGACTTGGTGAGCACGGGGACTGGCTCTTTCTTTCTGAGTTTTGGAATCCCTGAGACCACCACATGAAGTCTAGGCTGGCCACCTAGAGAAGGAGAGGCTGACGGAGAACACAGAGCCCTCCCAACTGGAGGGCTCTGGACCAACCAGTCCGCCGGCCCACCTGTCACTCAAGGGAGGCCTCCCGCCCCTCCTCCACCCTACAGTCGCCCACTCGAGAAAACTCCCGGCCGAGGACAGAATTGTGAGCTAAATAAAGTGGTGGCTGTTTTACGTTACTTCATTTCAGGGAAGTTTATTATACAGCATCAACGAACTGATAGAGCCCTTCAAGAAATCATTCTAACAAAAATTTTAAATGTGTCTACCAGCTTAAATAGACACAACATACCCGTAAGCTATTAACCTTATGAATGAACCTGGATTCATTACTTTTTTATCCTTTCTATGACTTATGATTTACACTTCGACAATCCAGTTGTTTCAATACTCCAATGTCAAAGCATATTAACTTTCTCTAAAGTCTAACTAAGGCTATTTCATAGTGAATTTTAGTGTTTTTTTTTTTTTTTTTAGTATCTTGATGTCAGTGTAATGAAAGACCAGGCTGATGTCAATATAATAATGTGTAGAATTTGCATAATATTTCACATTTCCCCAAATATCCAACTGTTGTTCACTAGACCATTTCAACAGTATTTGGATAAGTGGAAAGTGTACATTCTAATAGGTGCTAACCCAAAATACAAAGGCCTTTCAAAGTGACAGGCAAACAAGCGCTCGTTGAGATCCATAAGAATAGCTATTTGGGAATCATAAATTCAGGCAGAAGCCCAAGTAATCCTCCAAATAGGAGACATAGGCGGGATATGGATGAGAAAGGGGAGAGGAACAGTTCCACCCATAAAAGGAAGGCATTGCTACTGTTGCAGATAACATAACATAGTGATGTTAATGCTGAACAAGGTTTTTAATTCTCAGTCCAGTAGTCAAAATAACTGCCGTCTTGTTACCTTCACTAACAATTCTCTGGGAAATGAGGTTCTTTTGCACTGCATTTGACATTCCAAGGTGTGAGGTGTAAGATGCATGAGGCAGTTTGTCCGACATGGTGACTCCAGTTCCACTTGGAAGTGGTTCATTCGTATGATTGTTTACACGTGCCATCAGAATATAAGCTCTATACGAGCAGCTCTATTGCCTGTTTGGTTAATTGTTTACCCACAGCACCCAGAATCTGAAATGTAGTAAGTGCTCAGGAAATATTTTTTAAATGAATGGATGATGAACCCAAAAGAATTGGGTAAGCCTTGGTGAAGGGTGTAGCTTCCTTTCAGGTATCGTCACACACTTCTTTGTATTCTCTATTCTCTATCAGATGGATTGCTTCTTGTCTTTCCAGCATGGCTACCAGTGTCAAAAAAATATTCTGCCCTGGCTGGTATGGCTCAGTGGATTGAGCGCTGGCCTGAGAACCAAAGGGCTGCTGGTTCAATTCCCAGTCAGGGCACATGCCTGGGGTTGCAGGCCAGGCTCCCAGTGCAGGGCGTGTGAAAGGCAGCCACACATTGAGGTTTCTCTCTCCCTTCCCCTCTCTCTAAAAATAAATAAATAAAATTTTTTTGCCTTGATAAAGCCTTTTATTGGCTTCCTAATAGCAAACGTCGAAGAAGGTTTTCATTAATTACACTTAGGTTTGCTCTAGGTAATTACTTTTTACAGATAGCAATGGAAGGGATGTTACTGATTACTTCTTACAGATTAACAAGAAAAAAATTTTGCAAATGCAAGGGAATGATAAGGGTAACACGTCTGGTTACATTTCAATCCTTGCGAGAATTAGCACAGACTTCAGGAAGTTGCTTTAAAGATATGCAGTAAGCATTTTCTGCCTGAACTCAGGTTGAGGGAGTTTTAGCAAGAGCAAGTCACAAAGCAGCGTAAGTACAATGCAGGCCTGATTTCACATGGGAGAACTTCTTCTCAGGTGTGGTCCTGCGTGCCAACTCGCTCCGCACTGGTTTTCATGTGGTTGCTGAGCTATATTTCCACGCCTAAATAAATAAATATTCTTTAAAAAACATTCTATTAACTCCTTTTAAGAATGAATGTGTTAATTTTCCTTAAGGTCTGCAAATGACCCACCATTTCAGAGTTCTAGATTGCCACTGTTGATATTATTGCTGCTTGTACTCCTTTGAATCTAACACAGAAGAGAACCCTCTAACACCTGGAAGAACTGATTAGGCCATTTGTTAAGCAATATGGGGAAACCACCCACAATTGTGAGCAGTCATCTTCATTTGAATGGATGCCAATCATATTCTTGACCTCGGGCTGTTCTATTAGGGGAAAGTATTGAGAAAACCTGGAAGAATTTGGGCTGTGGTTGGATCAGAAATTATTTTTTCAAAGGCTGCTGAATTCTAGCTCTAATGATTGAACTGAAACTGAATTCTTAGCCCTGCCTGCACATTTGAATCACTCAGGGAATGTAAATACACACACACACACACACACACACACACACACACTATATGATATTTGGGTATGGGTATATGGGGACTCTCTGGACTCTGCTCAGCTTTTCTGAAAACCTAAAACTGCTCTAAACCAGTCAATTAAGAGCAAGACAGACAGAAAGACAAAGACAGGAGGTGAGAACACACACACACCCACAAGGCAGATGCGCAAACACTGACATACTTGATGCCCTGATCCCCAGATCAAGTGAATCAGAAATTCCTGAGGCTGAGTCCTGCGCGTCTGGGTGTCTGGAAGCTCCCTACAGGCTGCTGACGTGCTGCCGGTGTGGGGAAGGATCGCCTCGAGGGTGCTGTGGCTTTTCCAGCTGGAAGAAGTAGCGCTGTGATGGCAAATGGGTAGAGAAGCTTGGTTTTACTTTAAGATATCTCTTAGATGTGGAGTGGAAATGATGTATAGAGGCATTTCAGGCCCAGAATTGAGCTCATGTCTGGAAATAGGGAAGCACTATTAAGCAATGCATTCATCACTATTGTTCTCAGACACCGATTGTCTAAGAAAGCACTGTTGGAATCAGCAATCTTCTTACTTTATGAGAGCCTGGGCTGCCTGTCTGTGCAAGATAATGGGCTTGAATTTAGCAACCATGAGCACAGTGGGTTCAAGGAGATAGCCTCCTCCCCCCGAATGTTTATGGTGAGAGAGGCTGGGGTTGGCTCAGGGTTCTAATTACAGTAATAACAGCATCTTTCACAATAAGCTGCAGGCAGAATCCTAATTAATGAGCTCAATTCATCTGAAGCAAGGAGTCCACCTCCTGCGCAGGAGGAGCACGTATCCATCAAGCCCAAGCGAGACGTGGGGCCTGCAGACTGTGTTCTGGGAAGGCCACTTGATGCCTTTGATCTCAGCGTTCCTGGGGCTTTATAAACGTGGACTCTCCCTGCACTCTTGGGAAAGTTACTGGGTAACACACAGACTGTCAGGTATGAGCAAGCAAGCCTTTGCCTCGGTTCACCCCAGGAGAGCAGCCTTGTCAACAGCTGGCGGGGGCCCTGGGATCCTGCGGGCTCTACTCATGGCCCAGGCTGGAGGAGGGCCAACGAGGGAACAAGCCGTGGTTGGTAGATGAGAGAACGTGTAGAAAGTAGTGTTTCTGGTCCAAGTTCTGACTCACACTGCAGCCTGAAGCAAATCTCAGATTTCAGCGCCTCCATTGAGAAATAAGGATGATGCCTGTTCCCAGTTTGGAAAAAGTGTTCGAGTTGTGTGCTCCCTTTCGTTTAGGGGCTCTGCTTGCTCCTCCCAGCCCTGGACCGAGGTCCCCCAGCTTGCCTCTGCAATACAGTGTCACAGGAAAAAGTGCATGAGTTAGTCAGGGCCAAGTTCAAATTCCAGCTGTGTGCCCTTAGGCTAATAACTCACTCTCTGGGTTGCAGTCTTCCCATCTCCCAAATGCCTGGAGGTAGCATCATTGTTGTGAAAATTAAAGGGTGGTTAGCATCCTGCTAGGCTTCTGCCTGTACTTTTGCATACTATGTGGTCTGCTGTAGACAGAGTCAGGAGCACAGGTCTCACTAAACATGACTGTTATTGCTGTCAAGGTTGCCCCTACCTGTTGATGCAAGACTGGTGTAGGTAGACCAGTCAGGAGACCATTATGAAATGCAGCCCAGACGGCATGAGGCCTCTTTGGGAGAAGCAGGTGAATCTGAGAGCCATTAAGATACGATGTATTGGCCCTGGTGTGGTAGCTCAGTTGGTTGAAACATCGTCGTACACACCAAGGGGTCAGGGCACACACCTAGGTTTTGGATTCCATCCCTGGTTGGGTCATGTACAGGAGGCCACCCTTGATGTTTCTCTCTCACATCGATGTTTCCTCTTCTCTCTCTCCTTTCCTCTCTCTAAAATCAATAAGGTAAGGATTAAACAAACCAAAAAAGACAATGTATTTCTTGGTTAGGCTGCCACTTAAAATGTGGCGGAGGTCCAGAGGTTCGGGAGGCCCCCCTTTTGGCTCCTGTTTCTGTCCCATCCAAGGGTACCCCATTGCTTTCACCTTCTAAGGCTGCTGTAACAAAGCGCCACAAACCAGGGGACTCAAAACAATAGAAATGTATCTTCTCACAGTTCTGGGGGCTTCCTCTGAGGTATCACGGAAGCAGCTGCTCCATGTTTCTCTCCCAGCTTCAGAGAGCTGCCGGCAATCCTTGTAGACACGTCACTCCATTCCCTGCCTCAGTTTCACCTGACACTCTTCCCTGTGTCTTTTTCCCCAAATATCTTCTTGTAAGGACACCAGTCATTAGCTTAGGGCTCACTCTACTATGACCTCATCTTACTTTGATTATATCAGCAAAGACCCATTAAATCAGGCCACATTCATAGGTACCAGGGATAGAACTTGAACGTGTATTTTGGGGGGACACAATTCCATACACAATGCCCTTCAACAGGTTTCCGTCACAGCCAGGACAGTTCAGTAGCCAATTGTGTTGTTTTACTTGTGTGAATTTTTAAAATCACATCTACCCTCCGTATGGTGTCTTTGCTCCAAGTTGTCTGGAAAGGAGGGTCTTGGGAGGTAGGATGAGGCCACTTCCCCCTGGAAGTAAGTGAGCCAAGCATTAGGCTTTGAGGGGCTTTGAAAATCGGGGTAAGCCTCCAGCAGGCTTTGGATCAGGAGACTCAGGCTCCCTCCACCAGCCCTTCCCGGCCAACTCCAGCTGCCTGCCTGCCTGCCACTTATCAGGGCCTTATCATCAAACAACACGTGTTGTTCCCCGGGCTCCTGGGAGTAACTTATCACATTCGCCAATATTACATTTTTACAAGAAACACAATTCAGATGATTCAAAAGCAGACTTTACAGAGCGTACTCAATACCAGGTTACTCCATCATCACAAAACATTTATAACCGGAGAATGTCAGTCATCTGAATACTGGTATCCCTTTTCCTAAAGCATTTCCTAGAGACACAGATCATACCACTGTTACAGCATTTCCCGGGACACACTGTTAAGCTGATCAATGGCCTCTTGGATGAGCAGAGCATCGTCCAGTTTCTTCTCAGGGCCGCTGGCCTGCCTGGGGATTTTCCAAATTCCCTGGACAGGTAAATCAACAAGATTATAGTGGATGGGAAATGGGCATGAGAGAGAGGGAGAAGCAAAAGACAACATGAACTTCTGGTTTGGGTGTTTAATGGTGCTTCTGTCAATCGAACAAAGGTCATATTGGAGGAGGAGCCTGTATGTGTGTGTATGTGGTAGGGCCAAAATGAGTTCAAATGTGAAAGGTTATAGGTACTTTCACAGTAAACCTTCCTCCCACAAGCGAATTTGCCTCAGGCCTTTTCACTGCATAATGAATTGTCTGCAGAAGATAAAAACAGAAAATAAAAGAGGGCCATTATAAAAGACATAATGAAATATATTGCAGAAATGAAAATGCATCAACTTAGCAGTCTTTCATTCATAGTATTATACTTTTTTTCTTTGCTTGTTGACTCATCTCCTTGTTTGGCATCACATTCTTTTTCCTTTTTTTTTTTTTTTTTTTTGCTAAAAATTTCTTCCTTTGTTAAGAGAGGCATCAATTTACAGCTAAAAAATTGATAATGCTCTTGAAGACTTGTGAATTTGTAGGCAGCTCTTTTATATTTGCCATGGCTTAGGAAACTTTGGGTTTTCATGGTTGGGAGGGATCGCTGTGTTTGCCGTGGGATATACAGTATTTTGCCGTGTATAGTGCTCACTTTTTTGCCCAAATTTCTGGGGGGAAAATAAGGATGCGTATTATACATGGGTATAATGATTACATGCCACGGGTATAATGATCATGTGTATAATGTGCACAAAAACATGGGAGCTCATATTAGATGGAAGCGCACTAAACTCGGGTCGCGTGCAATCTGGCTTCCTGCCTTGTTATCATCCACTATTCTAGGGACCCCAGTGTCCTCCTCACTGAGCAGTTATCATGAGGATGATGGTTGACATCATATAAAAGGGGACTACTGCAAGACCTTTGTCAACGGAGAAATGAAACCAAACTGACAGACGACATTAAGTCTGACAAATGTGAGCCAGTTGACAACCAGGTATTTTACCTTTTACGGCAAAATTGCCTTACGGCCCATTAGAGATACGGCCGAAGTGCGGCCAGGGTGTTTACGGCAAACCCTGTGGCCTCGGGACTTTGACTGTGTTGGGTTTGAGATGTTGGTGGGACGCCCCAGTGGCCGTGCTGGAAGGTACTGGGGCGAGAGCGCTGCTGCTGCTGCAGATGTTGCCTTCGGCAGCATCAGAGGGCGACACAGGCCAGCACCAGGCTGCCGCCACTCAGAGAGTGAGAATGAAAGAGAAGCCAGGCTGCAACTGGGGGGGACCCCTGGCACCAACACGCTCAGGAAGAGTGGCCATGAAGGAGCCCGAAGGGGGAGGCGAGACGAGAGGTAGCTGACAAATGGAGTCCGATGTGAAAAAGAGAGACTGAAACAATTTAAAGGAGGAGGAGGAGGTCCTTGGGATGAACTGCTGCTTGGCCGTCCCTCCAGGTAAGGGCTAAAAAGTATGCATTGAATTTTAGGGGACGGGAGCCTTGGACTCTTTATACTTAGCATCGTAGAGGTTAATTCTTACTTCCCTGTGGGTCCGAACCATCTGATCTATGGGTTAGATTATAAAGTCTGTGAGAGCAGGCTGTTTCTCTCTTAAAACCTTCCCTGCATTCTCTGCTGCACCTAGGGAAGCCGAGATAGTGAGCCTGGCTGTGGACAAATGTCTGCTTGGGAAATGTGAGATGGTTGGTTCACTCTGAACAGGCAAGTAAGAGACCAAAAGTTGAGGCTGGAAAGGATTATTAAGTTCCAAGTCAGCCCAGACAGGTGAAGAAACGTGCTTAAGAACATACAATTATTTAGTGGCAGAGGTGGGACTTAAACTTGGAACTCCTGGCTTTTAGACCAATGCTTTTCTCCTTATAGCACATGCGTGAATGTTTTGCTGGTGATATCGGCAGTTTCAGGCTGGATGTACTTCCACTTGAAGTGGAAATTTATAACTCTGATTGCTCCGTGTGTCCTATGCTCTTCAGCCACACGAGCCTCTCCACCTCTGGCTTAGTGTCACAGACACCTTAGGAGAATCAGAGGCATGGTTTCAAAAGTGAGCCTACAGTCCCTCCAGGTCCATCTTGATACCTCCATCACTGAGAAGCTTGTGGTCTCCAAGAAGCAGATTAGCCTTTGTGGCCAATTTATTGATAGAGTTAAGTTAGGTCCCAGCTGGGCTTACATGAGAAAGCCTCTTAAGACCTATTTTAGGAATGTGGTGGGCAGTAATAATCAATTTAAGTGATGATTAGATGGTCAGAATGGGTTTCAATGATTTGCGTTGTGACGTGTCTGGTTACCAGTATTACCAGATTAAGTTTATCACAATTGGAGGCCAGGTTGCTTCTCAAGGAGCATTTAGCTCAGGAATAACCACGTCGTCTTAGAGACACCGCATGTTAAGAACTTGAATGCTGTCCGTGCAAACATGGAGTACCACAACGGGTCACTGTGGTCATTCAACAATTTGTTAATATCCCATGGTGACGGGAGTCTTTGCTGGGATTGCGGATACAACAAAGGATGCAAAATCAAGTCCAAACCTCTGGGGGTATTTAGTGCTAAGTCAATGTTTGACCGAATTCCTTCGAACAAGTGATAATTTTCATCATCTTAAAAGGCCCCCTTCTCCATGATAACTCATGCTTTACATTTCCCAACATCCTAAATCCCTGATGCTCCTTCTCTGCTTTAAAACAGATTCACATCTGAGTCATTATCATTCCTTTTCTAAAGTTGCTTTGTAAATTGTATAATGAAGAAACATTTTTCAGTTCCCCCCATGGAAAAAACTTCCCAATGTTGCTGTTACTTAGGAGATAGATAGTCTGCTATAAAATAACAAATTCGGCATTCTTTATTAGTGGAATGAGATATGTCACAGTTAATAATGTATCGTCGTTCTTTAAATGCTTTGTTTCCAATCTCCTCTCCTCCACTCAATGATCATAAAGTCTTGGTTTTCCCATGGAAAATTGTCAAAATTCTGCCGCTGTTGACACTGCCCCTCAAATTACTGCACACAGGCCACATGTTCTAATCCCATTACTCATAAACTTGTTACTGCAAGTTATAGGTGGGCCATAATTCATGCCTAGAAATTGTTGTCATAAAGTGACTATCATAAAACAAGCTATATTCTCCTGGGGAACCATATTGTAACTGGGGGGTTACATTTCTGATCAGGAATGCAATGTAAAATAAATAATGAATATGCAAAATGTGTGCCATAAAATCAAATATATAAACTATTAACCTTTTCAATTAATTCAAATAGTAGTGCCTATAAACTGCTCATAAATGCCCTGTGGATATTATACAACAGGCTTCCAATGGGCTATGAAGTGCAAAAATGGCACATCTAAAATGATAAGTGCCCAAATCAGAGATGTGGCCTAAAATGGAAGCAGAAATTCATTTTCAATCATCAACGAGCAATATTTCTCTGTGTTTTATTAAGCATTGAAAAGAAGTTTTCCTGGGAGGATAGTGGTGCCATAAAACCTCTAAGATCATTTCAGAGGGTGAGTCCCCGTGTGTGTGGATGGGGCTGTGAGCAGTGGGGCTTGGGGCAAAGAGAGTGAGCTGGGATTCAGGCGGCTTGAATCCAGCCCAGTTGCTTCCTCTGAGCTACTTAATATACAAGGTGCAGGTTTGGTCCCAGTGGAGGTCATGGGGCCCCTACTGCCTTAGCTATTGAATGAGATGCTGGAGTAATGACTTCCAGCTCTCTACCATCATGATACAACAACCTAAGAGGGCATCTTGAGGGCTTGGATAGCCAGGCTCCTTGAAAAGCTATCTAAAGATGTTTGGATTAATAAATATGTTTTCTATTTTAGATAGATTTGTGTGGATGGGTATAGGATGAGGTTAAAAAGTAGAAATGGTATCTTCCTAAAAAGTTTGTTTAAGGTGATAAGAAAGCACAGTCACCTCTCTTTTACCTTTTGAATCTTCCGGATTCAGACCTGCACATTCAACTGATTGAGATCAAACCATACAAGTGGAAAACAGTAAGCCTGCTATGGACTGAATGTTTCTGTTTCCCCAAAATTCCTATGTGAAGCTCTAACCCCCACTCTGGTGGTACTGGGAGGTGGGGCCTTTGGGAGGTGATGAGGTCATGAGGGTGGAGCCCCCATGAATGGGATTAGTGCTCAGAGGAGAAAAAAGTGAAGAGAGATGATTGTTTTCTGCTCTCTGCCATGTGAGGCCATAGCAAGAGGATGGCCATTTGCAAACCAGGAAGAGGCCCTTCACAAGTCATGGGATCTGCCAGGACCTCGATCTTGGACCCCCCCAGCCTCCTAAATTGTGAGAAATGAATTTCTTTTGGTTAAGCCACCGAGTCTATAGTATTCTGTTATAGTGGCCTGAGTGACTTAGGCCCTGTGAATGATTTTACTAGATACATGGTTGAACATTGTCAAATTAATTTCACTTCCTTAGAAACCTGCACAAATTAAAGGGCCCTTTCTATTTCTGGCAGCAGTTGGACTTGATACCATACTGACTCTGCCTCTGAAACTATTTGAAAGTTATTTTCAAATGCATGAGAACTGGCAAGAAAATAGGATACTCTAGCACCAAAGCTAGGAAGAAGCTTTAACCTGTAGAAGTAGGTGGAACACTAAGTCAACCTTTCACCTCAGGTGTCTTTCCTGAAACCCAGGGAACTTGACCTTGGTTTTCAAAGCCTTGTGGGGATGGTAACATTTGACAAAAACCAGGGCCCACCCACAGAGTGTCTACCCAGAGGTCCTCTGCATAGAGATGAGACTCAAGTGCTATGTCCTGAGGATGATGATGAATTGGAAATAAATTCACACCTAGGCTGAAAGTTACCTTTCAACCTAGGAGGGACTATAAGGAAACTGCTTCTCTTGAATCTTGGACTGAGTCCAGCAAATCAAATCTTTCTTAAGATTTCAAAATACAAGCTTATGTTCATAAGTATTTGTCACCAAAATGTATAATACCTGGTGATTCCCTAAAGCCTTAAGGCAGGGGGTTGTTGAAGGAGCCTCAGGATGAATCGGTGCAACAGGCGTCTGGCAGAAGGAAT